AGATTCCATTGTCGTCATACATACTTATCTGGTGGCACTGTAACAGGCAAAAATATGTAAGTTGATTATTACATTGTCAAGGGATGTACGCTATGATCGTTTGAACTCATGATGATATGTTTGTCCTCATCAACATCCTATGATCCTAACTATGAGTCTATGAGTGTACGAGGCTCTTACTTGCTGAACTAATGACGTGACAAAATTGTCGTCCTGGTAATATATTCAAATCATACAAGGAAGATGTAATGCACTGTTTGCTCCATCTAAATAAAAAATTAAAAACAATTAGGGGGTGTTCACCAACATGTTGTAATGTTTAGAGTCTGATCTACTTAATTAACGGTACAATAAAAAAAAAAAGAATTTGCCACATCAGCCAAGATGTTTTATTTTTTGCTTATGTAGCAATTGTTTTTATTATAGAAAACAAAAACCATACATACTGGGAAACACCCCTAAGTCTAACAAAAGAAGTGGCGTTTATGGTAGTAGTTAGAATAGATGTATCAGTAAGGGTGTCAACGGACTGGTTTTGGTCTTTGGATTGGACCTCGTCTAGTCCAAAATCAATATCAATTTGGATCATGGTTTTTAAAACTGGACCCCAAAACCATTTGAACGGTTGGTCTGTTCTAACAAAAAAATAAAAGAATTAAAAAAATTGAAAAGCGGTCAAAACCGTTCAAATGGTTCGAATGGTTAACTGGTCGGTTCAGCGGTTTGCTGACCAAAATCAACAGTTTTGGGAGAAAACGGAACTGGTCATGACCGGTTCTTGATTTTTCTAGTCCGATCCGATTTTAAAAATCATGATTTGGATGGATTGGAGGACCAATTCAGTCCAAATATCTATTAGATTGGATTGGACCTGGTCCATCCATAATAAATTTATATTGGATTGGGTTGGATTAAGCCAATAACTGGTCCATTGAAATAAGATAAAAATATAGGTATCAATGGACCGGGTTTGAATTAAAACCAATCTAAATTAAAATGAATTTGATGAACAGATTGGACGATCCAAACATTAAATTAAACCCATAAAAAATGGTCCAAAATATTCATTGGATTGGATTTGACCTAGTCCATTTATAATGGATCAAATCCAATCCAATTGACGCCCCTATGTATCAGCATAACCAAACATCTTCCCATTTGGGGATAAGTGGATATTAAGCCCCCCGTTTGGGAGTGTTTATTGGATAGAGAAGTGCTTATGAGTGTTTATTGAAAAAGCGCTTCTTTCAAACCGGGTAATATATATAGGTATTTTGAATATTATGTGGCAGGCAAAGATGGGCCAGAAATTAAGGCAATAAGCACTTAAAAATAAGATGAAAATTTTGGTTTAAATAAGATGAAAATTGAAAAAGCGCTTCTTCCAAATGCACACAACTGCTTATTGGTGTGATCCCGACCTAAAATTAATGTTTAAAATAAGCACTCCCATACGAGGGTTAAGGTAATTTCATTATTTTTTTTTTACTTTATTTATTTATTTTTTGGGTTAAGAATTGGAATTAGACAGGGGAGTGTTTACTTTGTGGCAGTTGAGGCTGTTGTACACTTGTACCTACAAAACCCTACCTCAGGTCAGCCTTTACAGATCAACCTAACCATGAATATCAAAAACTGCAAAAGAGTAAAGGAAAAAGGATCCAAGGGAATATACAACAATAATTTTATTCCCACATAGGATGTCAAACACAAATGGAAGCCTGCCACATGTCCAATCAATATACTAAAAAATAATAAACTTAAAAAGGTATTTATTCTCCAACTTTGCTGAGCAAAAGCATGTGTCCTAGATCCAAAACCACTCTCTTTTAAATACCCAATTAGTCTCTTTCCACAAGATTTTGTGTTTTAATTAAATCTGGTGCACCTTCCCTTAATCACCCTGTGCCCTTTGCATGTTCATTATGCACCATTATCACATTGTCATCCATATAATTAATAATTGCAAATTAGTGTAATTAACTTATGGAATTTGGAGCTGTAGATCAAGTGGAGATTAATTTGTGGCCTTAAAAACCGTAAAACCATATATAATACAAGATATTTTTATATTTTTTCTTTAGGACATACAGAAACCAAAATGGAATAAAGGAACAGTATAATCTAAAATGAACTGTGTATAGGTTCTTTTAGGAAGTTGATGAGGAGTTGTAGACAGGTCCATACATTGGAATTGGGAAATACTTTTAGTTCTTTGTTTGGATTAATACAAACAATTTGTAAAATAACCCAAAGTAACAGACGACCAAAGAAACAAACATACCCTCGGTGACAACATCTTGCTTTTCCCTAAACCCTTAATTGTTTCTAGCATTTTAACTTAATTCAAAGGGGAGAGAGACAGACAGAGAGAGAGTTTATTTTTCTTAGTAGAAGTTCTGTAACTCATGTGGGGTTTGTGAACGAATCTCATAAATCTTGAAAGTTGAAATGAAACCCTCGAGAGTGTTGGGCAAGGAGAGAATATTCTTGGGCCACCATAGTTCAACAGCAAAACTCCAAAACTTGAATTATAGAAAAATTTGCAAAAGCAGTAGCATAATTAGATTATGATTAAGGTATAGGAAAAGTCAGCCCACAAGGGGACGACTGTCTCATACTTCTAAAAATTCACTGCCTTTGTCAGTTCTCTGTCTTTTAACCTCTTTTATCCTTCATTAACCCCCTTTAATTAATCAAACTTAACATTATTACCCTGTTACTCTTCTACTAGTCTACTACTTAATTTGTAAAACAAGGACTAACCATGGAATATATATATATATATATATATATATATATGAATCGAGGCTTCAAAAGAAAGGTGGTCAAGTGGGTTCACAGATCTAGTCAATGTGAGGTGGATAGTGTCATAATCATATGGACGATTATTCCCTTTTACGTTTGTGTGTTTCCGAGTGTCGTTTCCTTCAGATTTTAGTGGCCTCGACAGTTGAGCACATGAATTGGTCTGTCTCTGAAGGGCGTTTTTGAATCCATGAAAAAGAATTTATTTTTACTCTCACCGTCTTACTTATTATTATAAGATTAGTGCTTATGTATATAAAATTTGTTTTGATTTGATTTCAACCTACTTATTGTTAGATACAATGCATGTATTGGAGCCCACTGAATAGGACCCAATACAAAACTCGAGATGATATGTTACCGTCTGATTTAAATTTTGGTTAATCACACGACGACAAATGAAATGTGCCATTAACCAGTCATGCATATTTATATGTCTGATAATATAATAATATGTTTATACCTGATCAAGGATGTGAATGGTAAAAATTAAGAAGGTTTCCAAACTTCCAACTTCATAGGTTGTATTTATATGTAAAAGGAAAGTGTAGATGATAGATGGGAAGCTACACTTGAGGATAGGACGGATAACAACAATAGTATCTTTATTGGTAAATGCTTCATACATGTATGCTTTCATTTTGACTTGGGAGCCATTAAAAAGTGGGTTCCTTTTGTGAAATGTAAGGACCCAAAAGAAAATAAAGTTGTTATGGGGTGTGAAAGTAAGGTATCCCTAAGCTAGATAGGGCTAGAAAGCTGTTTTTATTTATTTATTTTCATGGAAATTGCCATATTAGTTTTATTGTGAAGAAAATGATAGAAAAGAATTTTTAAAAAAGAAGTTGAGAATAGAGTGGGGCTGGTTTTGCTTCTTTTCACTTTCCACCACTTCTTTTCTTTATTTTCTTTACCTTCTAAGAGAGAGCAGAAGACATAAGAAAGAAAACTTATATATCTTCCTATTTTTAGTTTCCCTTGCCTGTAATCAAACTGAGGTTGTGCGTTTAGAGTTGCTCTTAAAACTGGAAACTGCTTCTCGACCGGAAGCATTTCTATAAAAGCGCTTATTTGAAGAAGCACTTCTATATTGATATAATATTTGCTAAGGAAGTGATTCTATTGATTGAGATCGAGAGGGTTATTCGAAATTAATTTCAAATTACTATCAAAAGATAGCTTTCCAAAAAATCGGATACACAGTCAGGTCTTCTAACTTTTGCTAATTTGTGTGGGGAGAATGGCTCCGGCTTCATGCGGAAGTACTTCTAACAGTGAATCACCCTACACATCTAGGATAAAAGGAAGCACTTCCCTTTTCAAAAGCTGCAGAAGCACCTTCTAAGCACAAACTCAAACAAAGCCTAAGTTACTTTCCTTTTGGATAATTTTCTTTTCATTTCTTCCATTTTCTTCACCACCAAATGCATGCATGCAGTGTCAATGTGAATTATTTTCAATTTGCAACTGGCATTTTGCTGTTGGGACAGCAACTTGTGGTAGATATGATAAATTGAGAAAACCAAAATATGATTCAGGCAACAGGAATCACATCAACATAAAGTGTCGGCTCCCTCAAATTGATACATACTCTTCAGTTCTTCATGGCCAGTTATCAGAAGAATAAAAAAAAAAGAAAAAAAAATCAAATGTGGGGAAAATGCAAGGGTGCTTAATTTAACCTGCAGTGATTCAGCCTTGGTTAAGTCCAGCATGTCCCAAATGCAATCAACAACTTTTGAGTTTGGATGGGCCAAGGGGTCCAAGTCATCAAGATGAACCAGCTTATGTCTTTAATACAGATCCTGTCCCAAGGTAACCCACCGACCAGTAGTACATCATCATATTATAATTCAGAGACTTTATAAGAGTCCCCTCCACTTACTATTTTGTAAATAGAACTCCCAGTTCTCCTGGTGAACTGGGTTAAGATTTAACTAGAGAGAGAGAGAGAGAGGTCTGGCTACCCTATACTGTAAGATTTGGTATACGTGTGGGAAGGTGCAAGAATATTTTGATAGTATCAAAGTGAGAGAAGACTGGACTGACTTGAGAATTTCAGATCCTGTAGTTGAAGTATATTTGGTTTCAGTTATGGGAATATAGATAATCCCTCCCAAGTCCCAATGTAGAAGTAAATAATATAAAAAAACAGTTGATGAGAACTGAAAGGAAGAAGTATAGAGAAGAACAAATCAAAAAAAGCAAGCAAATTATGGGATAATCATTCCAAATAGGAAACGCATGAATACTAGCTTTCTTCCGACCTCATCATATGTGTCATCATGCACCTTTGGGTTCTGCTGTCAAACCCCCCCTCCCCCCTTCAGTCCTTCACCCTGCTCCAACTTTAACTTTTCACCGCCTTCATAGAATAATACTTTGCTTTTATATTCAGACCAAAAGTTGGTAAATAAGACTGCGGAGAAACATCAGAGAGAGAGAGAGAGAGAGAGAGAGAGAGAAAGAGAGAGAGGGCTTCAGTTGATCAGATTATGTTATTAAAGCCTAGAGCAATAACAAAAGGTTCCATATTACCCCCTCTATTTTCTGCTGTGATAGCTTTGAGTAATTAAAAAGGGTTGAAAACTTGCGATCGATCCATGTTAGAGAAGATGGCAGGAGAAGCAATCTCAGGTGCTTTTAATCAGGAAACGGTTGTTGGATCCAACCCGCCTGTCGTAAAGAAGAAAAGAAATCTACCAGGAAATCCAGGCAATTAATCTTCTTTCTCTTCATGAAAATATATCTAGCTTTTGAGATTGTTTTCTTATTTCTTGGGTTATGAGTATATTCATAGATATTCATTCTTGTGACTGATGATTCTATTTGGCTAAACAGATCCTGAAGCTGAGGTCATCGCCCTGTCGCCGAAAACTCTAATGGCAACCAACAGATTCCTGTGTGAGATATGTGGGAAAGGCTTCCAAAGGGATCAAAACCTTCAACTTCACCGGCGGGGACATAACCTTCCATGGAAGCTTAGGCAAAGAACCAGCAAGGAACCCAAGAAACGCGTCTATGTGTGCCCGGAAAAGACCTGCGTTCACCACCACCCATCAAGGGCTCTTGGAGACCTCACTGGTATAAAGAAGCACTTCTGTAGAAAGCATGGAGAGAAGAAGTGGAAGTGCGAGAAATGCTCAAAGCGGTATGCTGTGCAGTCTGATTGGAAAGCCCATTCCAAGACCTGTGGCACTAGGGAGTACAGATGCGATTGTGGAACTCTATTTTCACGGTAATTATTTATATATATGGCTTCCATTTTCATATAATTTACAGTATAATCAATGATGCAATTTTTTAGTAAACAGAAACCAAGAGAAGAAATTTTACGAGGCAAAACAATCATGGAAGTAACTAAGCTATTTTTGTTTGTTTAGTTTTGTGTGGAATAGACAAGATTTCTCTCTCTCGCTCTGGATTTTAATTAGGAGGAGAATAAAAAGGAAAAGGGTGCACAGTGAAGACAAATGATTTGTTAGAAAGACATGCTGTTGATTTCCATCTATTGAGATATATATCTTTTGACGTTAGGAGATCTCTATCTCTTGAGTGTTAGGGTTGTAACGTGTTCTTGTAAGACTATCGAACTGATGATGTTGTTCATGTTTTTTTACCCTTTATGGTGGACAAGCTGCTGGGAACAAACCCACAATCTCATGGTTCTGGTGCAGATGTCAGCCACTTGGGCTACGAGCCGGAGCCAAAGTAGATAGAGCTTAAGTAGTAAAAATTTTGATGTTCTTGTTTCAACTACTACATTCCTTTTTGTTCGTCAGTTAATTTGGTTCATTCTGCTGTCTCTATCTGTTAGATATGAATGCTTTTCTACTCTTCTGTGTGAACAGGCGAGACAGCTTCATCACTCACAGAGCCTTCTGCGAAGCTTTGGCAGAAGAAACAGCTAGAGTTACTGCAGCATATAAAATGAACAATGCGAATGCTGGGAACATCAGTTATCCTTTTATGGGGACTTCGCTAAGATCCAACATGGTGCAACATTTCTCTTCTGTTTTCAAGCCAATTCCAAGCAGCAATGGAGCAATGGATCAGACTAGACCAGGACTCTCTCTGTGGATGGACCAAGAATCCCAGACTAACCAAGCAATGAGCAACAATCTCACAGAACTACATCAAATGGGCTCTTCGAGTATAGGAACAGTTTATGCTGATCCATTTTCAAATCCTCCACATACAGATTACCAAGTAAACTGGGCATTCGGAAATAAGCTCTCATCAACGAATGCTGGAGAGCTAACCAGCACCACACCGCCATTAACCAACCTCAAGGAAGTTGGGAGTCCCCGACTTGCTAGTGCTCCTTCCTTGTATAGCACCCAACACTACCATCACCAACTGCCTCCAGCAATCATGTCCGCAACAGCCTTACTACAAAAAGCTGCTGAAATTGGCGCTACTTCCACCAACCCATCATTTCTTGAGAGCTATGGACTGAAGTGCAACAACAACCAAATTCAAGATGGAAACAAGTATAACGATTTGTTTTCTCCAAGCCTCATACCAACTAATCTCGGAAGCGATTTAGACAACTCGGTGAGGGATCTAACTACTTTGAACCATTTGCAGATGTACCCCAGAAAGCGCCCAAAAACTCTGAACGATGATGCAGAAGAAGGGCAGACAAGGGATTTCTTAGGGGTTGGTGTTCAAACCATCTGTCCGTCGTCAATCAATGGATGGATTTGATTAGATGGGGGTCTCATGAATTGCATACTTCTCCATGAAAAGCATAGTTGATAATAAAGTGGGGTTCTTGAGATTATATTATTTTCAATCTTTGCAGAGAGAAAAAGGAAGTATGAGTGCTTATGGGGGCTAAAAGATGTGTTTAGAAAACTATTCAAGAGTTGGAGGAGGAGATCCATGCATATTCTGTTGGAACCCTCAAAGCTGATCTTTTAAAATTGGTCCCTTTTTATTTTAGGAAAAAGGGGGGGTTAGTAGTGGAGGCAAAGCAAGAACCCCCTTTTTAACTCCATTATTGCAGTGTTTCATCTCTATCATGATTCTGGTCTTTTTCAAGCTGGGTTTTACAGTATCTCAGTGGTATAAAGTTGGATTTGAGTTCATAGGCTTAGCTAATTAACGTATCTAGACTTTCCTTCTACACAACCATGCATATTTTCTGTACCATGGAACACATATAGAGAAGACCTTGTGTATACAGGTAAAACACTGTCAGAGTACTTGGAAATGAAGGAAACACTCAAAACTTTGTTAAGAAGATTAGACGTAACTTTCTTATCTTCTCTCTGATCTCTCCTCACCCTCTGTCATGTTTTGCTTTTTTCTCTTTTTAAGTACCTTCTGATTAGATTTCTTTTAGAATTCAACAAGGAAACTCGTTCTTGCAGGAAAGAACTGGGGATTGGGCCCTAACAAGTATATTGTGATTCTGCTCCTGTTAATCATATTGCAACGATGAGGAAAGAAAAAAAAAAGGAAAAGAAAAAAGGAAAAGGGAAAGTAGAAAGAGAAAAAGGAACTACATGTATGCTTATAACAGTTTTACATGTTCATAAACAACTTTATCATTTATGGGTAGAGCCATGCATGCTTACAGGGAGATAGCCCCAGGGTCTCGCCATGGTGCCCATGAAACTATATGCATGTAAAATGATCTTGAACTGCTGGTTTACTAAGGTTTAGATTTAGAGATCACGTTTTAGACCTCCAATTAATTCTGCAAGTATATCAGCTTGTCTTACACCACAGGTCCCCCAGATAAAGGAGGACTAAAACTTTTGTCATGATCATAGATCTTAATTAATGGTGAAACAGGATTCATGTAGCCGACCCCATCCATGTTGGGAGAGTTAATTAGATGGTGATGATGATGATTCTAGACCTCTATTTTGAATTTTAGCATAAGAGACCTCCATGTTAACTTGTCGCTTAACTTGGATGACTAAAAGAATTAATACATTATTCAATGAAATCATGTTAAAATTCTACAATATTTCCTTACAAAATTTCAACTTTCAAAGGAAACTAGTCTAACTTCCATAATAAGATTGCTGACTGGTGGAAATTTAGGTTTTGCTAGAAGAGTAGGTCGGCCACGGCTCCCATGCTATCATGTGTGGTACTGTAAACCAATTCGATCAGCTTCATGGAGTGAAAAAAAAAAGAACTTTGGAGCATAAAAATCAGATATTCCATTCCAGTATGGTGGACTTCTTTGAGAAACGAAACTCATGTTTTCTTAGGAAACTGGTAATTTAGTGCGTTGCATGCATATCCTTGAACCGCGCTTGGGATCAGGATGGAATTGGAGTTGGCAGCGGAATGGAAGGGTCAAATCTTTTGAGCTTATGGTTCCTAGCTCTATTTGGGTTTTCTTAACAGAGTGAATTAAAGAGCTAAGCAGCTTTTAGGCACTCAATTCTGCAACTTTTGGGAGGGAGGGGGCTAGTCGTCATTTAAATATCAACGAATTGAGCAAAGAGTGGAGTTAGAGGTAGAAGTCTGGCGGCGGGCTGGTCAGGGTTAAAGGTCAATCCAGGCCCAACCCTAACAATTGAGCCTGGAATGAATCCAAGGTCATGTCCGATCTTTCCAACCCAGGCCCGGGCCAGGCTCAAGTTTGGCAAATAGGGTTTATTAGATCCAATGTATTAAAAAATTGCATGAACCTATTAATATCAGCTAATGTTCAGCTAGATTCAGGTTGACCTGCATAAGGGCTAGGCTCGGCCAGCCCAAAAAAATAGGAAAACTCAAGTTGAGTAGATTTCCAATTTTGTTCCCACAATCCAAATAGGGTAAGATTCCAATTGAAGAGCAAATGTCCCTTTTGCCCTTATAATTTTTCCTACCTAGTTATTAGGAAATTGTGTACAGTACATTTTTTTATTTGTACTCTTCCCAAATTGTCTTAGGTTGCATTTGGCTGCAGTGCAAATTTATTTGCATGGATGCAAAACTATGGTAATGCAAATGATTTGTGTGCAAATGATTTATTTTGTTTGATTGTAGTACAAATGAAGTAAAATAAGACCTGAAGCAGAATAAAGTAAAACCCAAAACAAAATTAAACCAAAATTTGCATTCTTTACATTTGCACTACAACCAAATGTAGCCTTTTCGGCCCCTGTTGGGAAGAGTGCAAATGCAAATACTGTCATTTTCGTGAACCTTGCATATGTATTTACACTGATCTTCCCAAATGGAGCCTTATTTTCAATATATATCTTTGGTCTATATAAATCAATTGATGACCGGCCACCATTCATGTATCCTCATCCAGTTTCCTTAACCATGCTTCTATAGAAGAGCTTTGTTGAATGGCTCCATCACGAAACCCTTCCCATAAAATCTGTGCCAAATGAGCCATTGTTGGGATGATAACTTATGGCCAGCCCTCAATTTGAGAGGCATGCTAAGGAGTGCTGGTTTATTTCACTTTCCACTAAGGTTTCTTTAAATTACCTATAAATCATAATCCTAAAGAATTAAAATATCGATATGACATGTATTCATATCGATGCACCCAAGTATGGGTGGATACATTAATAAATAAACTTGGGGAGCCATATGACTTTAATATCCTTAATAAGTAAAATTAAATAAATAAATAACTTTTTAGGCTGTGTTTGGTTTGAAGGGAAAAGTAGGGAAAGGAAAGGAAATGCAGGGAAACCTTTACAAACCTTGTATGGGTTTTCCTACCTTTCCTTTCCTTTCCTCACCTTTTTCCTTCAAACCAAACATAGCCTTAGAGTGAACCGGCTTTGTCTTAGTGAATAATAATTTTTTGGTAAGAAGGATTTCAAAGGCAAGAAAAAAAAAAGCAGAAGAAACAAGAAGAAACAACACCAACTAAAATATAGAAAGGAAACTTTAATGCTGTGTTTGGTTTGAAGAAAAAAGTAGGGAAAGGGAGGGAAAGGTAGGGAGTCCTTTATAAACTTTATATAGGTTTCCCTATCTTTCCCTTCCTTTAAACCAAACATAACCTAAGGGTCTATCATCCCCATGAACTGATAAAGCAAAATTAGTCTCCACCATCAGAGACAACCAATCTGGAAGAGAGAGACAAGACGAAACTAATCCAGATGATCCTTTTGAGGCAAGGCTATCAGCTGCTAAAACAAATTCTCTCTTAACAAAACAAAACTTGAGAGTAATACCATCAAGATTAAGGATGTCAAATAAAATAGGCCAACTATTAGGTTGGCTATCCAATGATTGAGCATCTAAGGTTTAAGTAAGAGAATCAATTAAGATTAATAGATTCCCAATACCAAGCTCCTTAGCAGCAAAACAACAAGATTTAATAGCAAAAGCTTCAGCATGTTCATCCGATATCACCTTACAAGGGCCACAACCAACATTCAAAAAGGTGCCAAAGTCATCCTAAATTACAAATCCAAAGCCACTGCTCATATTTTTTGAATAACCACCATTAGTTCTTGCTATACAAAAACCTAGAACTGGACCAGCCCATCCAAAAGAGTTACAATATGGCCTTTAAGATGCAACAATCTTCCGATTTTTGGGAGAAAACTTTCATCACTTCCTTCATCAACCTGTTTACAAAGAGAATAGAAAGAGTTGGTTAGGGTGGGTACCATTAAAGATAAATTCATTTCTCGCTATCCAAACTATCCATAGCATAATGACTGAGAGTTCAATAATAGGCAAATCTATCACACTAGATCGTAGGTAGTATCAATATGATATGCCAATACGGTGTTAGACAATTGTATGTCCTTAGCCCCAATCAAAATGATGTACATTATGAATTTATTGTAAATGAATAAAGTACATATTTGATTCATGTTCCTGTGGTGCATTTCTGTGTAATACCCTTAAATTGGACACTGAATGAGACTCGTATTAGTTTAGAATGTTCACAGCCAGTGGATCGGTCTGGGGAGACCTATCCTAATAAGGCTGACACTGATGTGCCACCAAGTCAGTTGGGGTGGCTTGTCTCAGCCGCCAGGGTGAGACCCAAGGCACATGCAGTGTAGGATTAATTGAATCTTTGAACCGACCAGATTTTCAGTATTGCCCTGGACCTTGGAGATTAATGGGCAAAACTGGAAAGTTACACCC